CTAGCAATTGAGATGGATTATTTTGTTGGGAATTTCGGATGGTTTTGTAGTTGATGAAGGTTTAAGAATGATCGAAACGGTCAAGATATGGGGTTTTATTATCAACAATTGGAATGCTAGTAATTATAAAAAATGATCTGTTTATAAGACAAGAGTCAATAAAAAGTCGACAATCAATTAAATTTTTAATTTCTGAAGTAAAAGCCATTACAATGCAATTCTAACCTGTATTGCATTTGGTATGGGTAATTGGCAAACAAGAGCCAGCGATAGAGCCAGCTCAGGCGAAATCTAAGGGAGGCCATAGATCGCAATTAATCAGTACGTCCAGCGAACCAACGAAGCAATTCTAACCTATTCTAAAGTTTTTTTACTCTACATTGTTTTAATTTTAATTTTATGGAATGTTTTTTTATTGATTTGTACCAAATTAAGAGCAAGCTAGTCTCCTATTGAGCAAACTAGTAGCCTGTTGATTATCCGTATAGTCAGGTGTCGCTGCACGTATATTGAGAACTCCTGGCATATTGATACACTAAAGTTTCATTGATCCTAATAGTCAGTCTGCTAGCTTGATTGTTTCCAATTATTTGAGAATCTCTTTTTGTGCCTGTTTAAAAGTTTGACTATAAGTTACTGGAGCGGTTTAGTAGCCGGCATAGAGTATATCATGACAATTAAATTACCACTAAGTCGTTATCGATAGTTTGTCTTTCAACGACTGTTCCTGGCCTCTATCCTTCAATATTCTAATCACTTAGTGCATTTCACTTCCAGCACATCAAAGCTTAGTATTTTAACTTTTACCTAACACATCCAAATCCCCCAAAATCCTCATTATCTTCCAGGTATCTCCCAGACACAAAATAATCTTAATCTTCAAACAAAACTCAATTTAGAAATCCTCAATAATCACCATGTGACTTTCTCAATGCAACAGTAAATTAAAATCTATTTATAAAGTCGCTTCTGTGAACTCCCATTGATGCAAATTATCCGCAATCTTGACTTGCATTTACATACCTACGTCTATAGACGTCTAATTCTGCTCAATAAAAACTTCATGCTTTGTTATTCTTAATAGCTCTTAATTTAATTATAGCATTTAAATTGTTTTTTGACTCGGACTTGAGAGAGAATTTGAATTAAAATTGAGAATTTCCGCTCACATGAGGCTAGCTTTGCTACTCTTTCTTGTTTATTTTGTTATTTTTGCTTTCAATTCTTATCAAAATATAACAAAAATGTTTTTACGTCGATTATCAAGAAAATCGTCTGTTTGTGCGCACTGCTGGATTGTTTTCTTATTTTTATTTAATTTCTATTCATTATTGAAGGTTTAAATTCATTGTTTTTAGATTAAATAATTGTAGTTTTAATTGCATGGAATTTTTTTTAAGGATCTTGAATGAGTTTTTTGTGTTTTTAAGTCATTTATGAGTTAAGCTACCTAAAACTATAGAATTTCTTATTCTTTGCTCAATAAAGTTCAAGAAAATGTTTCTAAGCTGCAGGGGGGGGGGGGGACTTGGAGGACAAATCCCCCTTCGTCTTGAGAAATTTCTCCTCCTCTTCAAATTCCTGGCTACACCTCTGCTAAGCGTTCATTTGACCAATTAGATCCAAAAAATCAGTTACAAAAATGACTCAATGTCTATTCGTGATATTTATGCCAATTTATTACGATGACTCATGTTTAAAACTCTTCGGAAGCATATAATAGCTTCCGTTGTACGAGGGAATTCCATGATAAACATCACATCTGTTTTTTTTGTGAAAATATGCACAAAACATAATTTTTTTGTGTGAAGATAAGCTCAAGGTCATTTGAGCAAGTGAGCAAATATATTAAAATATAATCAGACGCAAAGCACAATCAAGATCCTTATCATTGCTGATATTTTTTTTATCACTTAACTGAATTGTATTTTTTTTTGTATACTGAAGTGCAAAATAAACAAAAATTTGCAAAGAAATATAAATTTATTGGGGGATTTACTACAAAGGTTTAGGCTTAGATATGAGATTTTGAGTAAATGTTTGAGGAATGTTTGTGAATTCTATTTTCTAGGATCCATATTTCTAGGTTTTAAAAGATTTTTTGGATTCAATTCAATGCTTCTTGCAGCTTCAATCCAATGTTTACTTATTGTGCGTCTATAGAATCTTAACTGACGCATTGAGTTCTTTACTACCTCGAATGTCACTTTAAACATGTCAAATAATGTTTAAACCTGGTCTATTCCTCAAAACACACACCTCATATCTTCATAAAACTTACAAATGTAATAGTAAACTAATCCCCTTTCCTGTTATCTTTACAAAAATTCCTCCGTCCTTTCAATATATTTTTTATGCATTATTTCTTAAAAATTGTTATCAATTTCTCATTGGTGGCACTAAGACTGCTTATTTATGAATCATAATTTCACATTCTAAATTGATTTATGAAGGGCGATAGTTTTTACTTAAATAATGGCAATTATTATTCTAACAAAAAAAAATATTATTTTATGACACGCCGCAAATTTAAATATTTTATATTTCATGAGCAATAATACAAAGAATTGTGTCTGTAGACACAAAATCTCGGCATTTTCACAGAATTTCTTCTTTTTTCTTTAACATTTTTATTTTTCTCATTCTTTGACCCGAAATTGAGCAGCAAAGAGGAATCGAGAGAAGTCTACAAGACTCTTGGCAGTATGGCATGCATTGAAATTCAATGTTTTCTCTCGATTCTCGCATTTATCGCTGCTTCGTCTTGGTAGATCTTGTTAAGTTCAACATTTACCAATACATTGACATGCATGAATTGCATGTATTGCTGCCACGAAAGGAATTTCTTTATGTTAAATGGATTTTTAAGAAGAAATTCGTCAAAATGAAATGGCTTTTTGTGGATTGTTTGTTGAAATTCTCATACTTTATGGACTTGGTTGCTATTTCGAGCACGGATTTCATTTATTTTGCATGAATATTATTTAATAATTGTAGATTCTACTGTAACTGACCCTGTATTGCATCATTATTGTGAAATATTCTGTCTTCTAATGTTAAAATATTAAAAATTCTTCATTTGGCTGCTTCAAATATTTAAAGTTCACCGAAAAACTCAAATTTTGCCATCCAACTTTGTTGCCAAAATTAAAAAAAATTCAAAAATTCGTCTAAATTCAATAAAACTTTCTATTAAATTTAAATTGCATTTTAACAATTTTTTCAACATATTTTTATAAACCTTTAACTTGTCACGTAGGCCAGCTTAACATACATCCAAAAATGAATCATTAAGAACTTAGAAAATTGAACAAAATGAGTCAAGAATGAACATAAAGTTTAAATGATATTTTATGTGCTTCTATGTTCCTCAAAGGTCTCACTTCTGTTCATCAATGCAGCTACTTGTTCTACGCGGAGCGCCGAGAAGCATCATGATGTTTAAGAAAATAGAAAATTAAACCTTTTTAGTTGTATTTGTGGGTTAATTCAAGCTTAATTTCTATTCCCTTTTTATTTGTGTTTGTTTCCTTTTTCTACAATTTTTTTTGATCAATGATTTTTAAATGAGGAATTGAGAAGTTTAAACATGATTGTCTGCATCTAAATTGGGAATTTTTTGATGAATCTAAGTTTATGTAATCAAAAAAAAATTGTCAGCTACTAGCCTGAATGGCAAAAGTTGGTTAATTGATCAGAAATCCAGCACAAAACCGATGTAACTTTGGCATGGTTTTGGCTTTAAATCAAAGCCAGCACCATGCCAGAGTCATGCTGGCTAAACGCCAAATTTCTATTCGATCAATCGACTTGTGCTTTTCGGGTAGTTTACTAAGTCAAACTACTTTATATAATCATACAGCAAGAGATTCAATTGATCAACTGAACATTTCAGCTTAGTTTTAAAAAAATCTCCAAAAAAAATGAAAAACACATGAAATTAATTTTTTATTCCAGATCTTTATTCTACCTAAAATATCTTTTTTTGTTTCACTATAGACTCAAACTACACAAGATAAAACAATTTAATTTACATAAAAAGAAGAGTTCTGCTTTCTCTTAAATGATCACGTAGCTCACTTAAGATTTATGTCTGTGCGATAACTTCTCTACTCTTTGCTCTTCTCATTACTCAGACAAAAATAAACAATTAATTTCAAGAAAGACTTTAGAGCTCATATTCTAGAATTCTAGAGAAATAATGATGATTGTGGGTCATGGGAGGTTAAGGGAAGGTTAAGAACATTTGAGGAACTGTTCTTTAACTTCACAGAAGGAAAAAAATGGGCTAAATTTGAATTTAAGACTTGAATTAAGAAGCTTTTTTAATGTCTCGGTACAGACCCTTCGAGACAAATGAATAAAGGGTCATTCACTAATGACGTCCAAATAAATTTTCAAAGACGTCATAAGTGAACGGCCGCTAATGAAGAACTTCTACTGAATCAACTTGATATTCTGGATAAATCAATGCATTCAAACTCAATTATTCATCAAAATAAACCAAAAGCCAACTAAAAGCATGCAAAAAATTCAAAAAATTTCGCAAATAGCCGACAAAATGTTGACCAATAAAATTCTCATCTCAATATTAAATCCATCAATTATCACTCCACTTATATAACTCAATTTGAGTCAATTCACAATTTAATTTCTGTGTCAAATCACATCAAATTTGTTCAAACATCGTTGATGCTTAACAATCCATAATAATCATGTACCTAGCGGATATAATTTGTGAAGCTGAGTTTTAATGTTTTATGGCAAAAATCTTGTTTTTCGGATAAATTTTCAAGTTCAAAAATGTTTTTTAGGTTTGGTGAACTTTTCATGTAATTGAGCCATGAACTATGAAGAATAGTCAAATTACAGAATTATAAAAATATATTTTCCACAAAAATTCTTTGTTTAATAAAAGTAAAAATTTAAAAAATATGACATTTTTGTACTTAAATTTTCACTGTCTTTTTTTATGCGTATTAGTCATTATAAATATAATTGCTCTGTGCGTTTTGGGTCCCACAAATTGATATGTTTTATTGTTTTAGAATTTCCAGTTCAGAAAGTCTAAATTCATTATTTAATTTTGAAAACTTATTACTAAGCTTAATGTGCTTAATACTAGCTCTCAATCGATAAGTTTCGAGTTTTTTTTTTTATAAAAATAGTTTTCATTTTCGACATAACTAGATAAATTCTTCTTCGTAAATCTTTTTTGATTAATAATTTTTTAAAAGTCCATTGATTCAAGTTTTTTAGTATTTTTTAAAAAAATATGAAAAGTTCATAAAAAAAAGTTTGGCAATTTTTGAGAGAGAAAGTTCAATTATTGAGTTTATGGAGTCTAAAGTCATGGAATCCACCTGATTGGAATTGAAACATCAAAGTGCTGTTTTAAGGTAATCCAAAATCCAAATCATCTTCCCATCCATTCATTCAAATCTCCACAAAACTCAATTAAATTAATCAATTGTGCGCAGAATCTCTCAAAATTATTGCAATTTTTTCAGCAAGTTTTTCACACGAAAATAGCTTCGCATGTTCAATTTTAAATAATATCTCAGTTAATTTTGTGTGTCTTAAGCCCCCTTCAGACTTGGGCCCATTAATAATTTCAATTTCATGTTGAAAAAAAGGATATATCCTAATCAAGTAGTTTTAATTAATTTAGCACATTAATTTCGAATTTGTAAAATATAAAAAAAATGTTTCTCGCGAAAAATAAATTCACACTAAAAAAAAATTCTTAAACCAAAGTTTTTCCATTTAACTTAGCTGATAAGTCGGTGATGATTTCCTTAAAGATCAATGGATCGATGTTCTTGCCGAGCTGATAAATGATGAACCAATCGCCAATTTGACATTTGTCAGCAATACTTTCGACATCTTCGTTGGATGAGAGACGACTGCGTGCACGGAGCAAGTAAAGACGTACTTTTGGCCATAAGCAGATGGCAAAACGGTAGACGAGTGAGATGGCACTAAGGATGGTCAATGCAATAAACCAGAACCACAAGAAGACAAAGATCTTTTCATTGACAATATTGAGTGGCAAGACACAGAGACCGTCAAATTTCTGAACACTTCCTGATGGACCATACTTATGGAATGTACATTTTGTAACTTTTGGGAATACACGAGCCATTGGATCACCACGTTCTTCTGGTTCCATTTCTGTAAAGCTCAATACATCACTTCCATATGTTGAGAATTCCCCGCCGAGGAAATAATCCATAAAGTAAATTTGGACAAAGACATTGACAAAGTTGAGTGCCTCACAGATGAAGAAGCGGAAGGCATAGAAGTTATGGCGATTCAAATTGTCACCAAAATAGTCGAGGAGGATCTTCTTTCGGTCCTCTTTAGCCTCATCATTAACAACTGGACAGTTGAGATCCATGACAAGCATCTTGATACGGCCACCTTCCCATGTCTTCCATAAGTAACGAGGTATGTAGAAACAAATTGCTTCTGCAAAGATAGAGAAATTAAAGGATAAATTATTAGATTTTGTGGATTAAATTGAGGTTTTTAAGATTTATGAGGGATTCTCTGATGACAAGGATTGAGGTAGGATTAATTTCTTGGTTTTAAATTTAGGACACTCTCGAGTGAGCCAAGGAATATACAATAGACATTTAGTCATGCCTTAATCATATTCTAGGAGTTTTTCTTGGCTATCTCAATTCTCCTTCAGACAAAAGGATGTAAAATTAATCAAAATGATCAGAAATGATCAAAATATTGTATATTAATTCCACAGCCGTAATGGAACATTAAAGCACTCATACTACCCGGGTGGACACAGCCAGTTAAAGTCCATTATTGGACAATCATTTAACAGTCTTTTAACTTGTCGAAATATATACGATATAGAGAACTATACGTTAACTAGACTTTAACTGGACATTCATGCTAATCAATCAAGTGTTCGAAACTCAAAAATAATTTTCCTTACTTTTTTGACCATATACTTCACAAGCGCTTACAGAAATCACTTATATAAGGTCCACCAAAATTTGTATGAAACTTTTAAGTAAATATAATTGTTTCACGCGCAAGTGTTCGAGACTCAATTTTTACTAGAGATTTTTCATAAGTGATAGTGTACTTTAATTAATTAATTACACTAATACAATAATAAAATTTTACAAAAGAAAAAAATATGGAGAAAAAGACACGTGTTATTTATTTTATTTCGATTTTTTTGTAACTGGACATTAACTAGACATATTTGCAATTCCTATGTCCAGTTAAATGGAAAGCGCAAAATATGTCATTAGTCGTCCCTAAGTCTAGTTGCAAAGGCACGTCAATGGATACTTACTCGCCGTGAAAAGGCAAGTCAATGGCAAGCTTTTAACTAGTACTTTGTCCACTCGGGCTAGTTATTCAAATCAACCGGTTTCCAAAAAAAACAACAACTCAAAACAATTTCTCCATTTTAATAAAAGAAATTCATGAACTTGAATGTACAAGCCTAGCCAAGACATTAATCATCATTTACAAAATTGCAGAAAGCTAAAGTCAAAAGTGAATGGCAAATTCAATCATGAGTGTAAATTGCAAAATGCTTAGTTCTCCGAACAGAAACTTTATTGGCTTAATGAAAAGAGAAAAAAACTGTTTTTAAGGCAGATCGAGTGAGAAATTGCTGAATTGAGAATAGCAAAAGTTGTGTGAAGATCACATTGAAGGAGCTAGAATTGATGTGAATATTTGAATTAGTAGCTGGAATTGTGGAAATTTTGCATGATTACAGTCAAGGCATGGGAACTATCCCAAATATATCGAGTATTATCACTGATACCAGGGGCGTAGCCAGGATCTTTCAAGGGGGGAAGGGGTTCCCAAAAAAAATTTTGGTGTCAAAAATAATAAAACAATCAGCTTTTGTTAATTAATTCCGATTTAAAGTTTAAAAAAAATTTCAAATAAATTCGTATGAAATTTCAATCTCAAGGTGGGGGGTGGGGGGTTGTCCGGGTACCTAAGGACCTCCCTGGCTACACCTCAGTCTGAGTCTGAATCCATTAAAATTGAGACATCTTATCGAATCCTTAAATTATATGTCCAATACATTAAGAATTTGTTTGAATGTCTTTATTATCGTGCATACAGGCTCAGGGATTATTTTGGATATTTTTGTTAAATATCAGTATACTTGGGATATTTTAGAAAAATGGGATATTGGGAATAGCTTCCATTGCTTAATTAAAGTGAACGCATTATTAGATTGATAGTAATAAGAGCATTTTGAGCCCCAGAAGCCTACTTTATAAGAAGTTCTTTTCAATTTACTAATTGAAGTTTAATTTAGAATGCATTTAGTTTTCTATAATATCGATGTAATACAATTTAGAAATTTCTATAATCAATGAGATTTAAGTGAATAAACGTTGAAGTTTCTCAATATATGAGATAAGCAAATTTGACCTATTTCTGTAACTAGTGACATTTTGTAATCAAGTCTTGACATGATTTTATGATGAAATTGGGTCCTTTATGAAACTTAGTGAAGACGTAAAAGAAGGGAGGATGGTCGATGTCGTAGATTAAGTTATGATAAAACCAGAATATCTAATATTGATATGGTGCAGGGAACACGATAATGATTATGATGTACACCTGAACTAAGTTAATACAGCACTACAAATCTTTAAGAATTATATTACATTACTTCATTTATATTGAAACTTATGATAAATGTCAAGATCCTCCGAGTAGAATAGAAGCTTTTTGAAATTAAGAAAAACCACCAGATTCTAACTTATAACAACATAACTTCAGCTCAAAAATCTAAATAATATTCACATCGATTCCATTTTGTATGTTAGAAATTTATTTTCACTCAGCTGTTTAAACACAAATGCAACTTTTTTTCCCGTTTTCCGAGAACACATTTGAATAGAAATTTATTTAATTTAATTTAATTTTGTATAGTTGCATCTTGTTGTGCATGATTCAGGTCAATTGGAGTTTTTAATTGAATGTTAAATATTTTTAAAAACTTTATAAATATTAAAGCTATTTCATTTTAGCCTTTAGTCATCAAATATTAAGTAGCATCCCAATAATCACACTAAAATAATTCAACATTTTTATTCCACTAAATTAAACTCCAACAATTTAAGTATACACCAATAATTTCCAGCATAAAGTCACCAATTAAAAGACTGTCACAACAACAAAATATTTTGACGATTAAAACGCAACAAAAGAAGCTATTTTGCATAACATGTGGCCAGAACAATAACCGTTTCCATAGGAATGACTCACGCCAGCTGAAATTTGCGAAAATAATCTTCAAAAAATAACAATTTTATATCCAGTAAATTGAGTCGCATAACAACGGAGGTTGGACGTCCATTTTGTGAGGTGATTGTACAGAAATTGTCAATTTTGGGGGATGAAAAAGAGGAGCCAGAGGTCGCACAGAAGTTCTTAGAAGTTTATGGAGTCAAAGACTTCTTAAACCCTCAAAATTGATGAAATTTCAGTTTCAGAGTCCCAAACCCTTGACAACTAAGTCCAAACCCCTGAATTAACGATAAATTAGACAAAAAACTTACGGAAAAAGAGTACAAAGCAGACCCACTGATAATATTTATGATATTTAACCTCATCTTCTCCTTCTGTATGTGATCCGACGCCAGGCTGTACAATATCTTTTCCAACTGTACCAGTCAAGCGATTAGGTATTGTAAATGTCGAATAAATCCAACAATATGTATCCATAACATTGAGTGGAATTTCATCGACAATACAATCGATTGGATCTCCAATATACTGACGACTTGTTACAAGCAACGAGAATGCAATTAGAACAATCACCGTTGCTTTATAATGTAGACGAAATATGTTGTTATCGATGCATACATGGTCTAGCTTAAGTAGACCTTTTACTGATCCGAAAACGTCAAACATTTTTTCTTTCTTTTTCTTTCTTTACACAAAAAAATTCTTTTTCACACCCGAAATATTTTAAATCAGGTCTTTTTTAGTCACTTCTTCTTCTTTTCAATTGATTTGTAAGGTCAAAATAATTGAAAAAAATTTTATTAAGAACTTAAATTAAAAATCTCGAAATAAAAGTAGATGTGATGCCACAAACGACACAACAACACAACGAAACGAACTAAACTGATCTCCAGTTAATATTTTTTTGTTTCTACAATTGCGTTTTTACTTCTTCCTCTCGCAGTCAGTTGTGCCTTTTATGTGTTAGTGACTCACACATGTGTGTAGGAATTGATTTAGATGTGGTGGTGCGGACATAACAAGAAAGAATTCAACATGCGGTGAAGTTAGATGAAGTTATTTGTCATAGATATATATGACTTTAGTTGCTTGTGTTTGTGAATAACAAAGAAGAATAATGCTGGTTTAAAGTTGGTAGGATTAGACGCTAGAGGTGGCTAAATTTGAATTTTTTCAGAAATTTTGATTAAAAGTTGATGAAATTTCAATCAATCTTCAAATCTTGACGACCAAAAATAAATCATCAATTCATAATATTGACAATTTAACTCAACTCTGTCAAAAATTGACGAACAAAGTTATTTGCATATGAAGACAGAACAAAGAGAATAAAAGGAATTGAAAGATTAGAATGAAGACATTGGTATAGAATGGCTTATGAAAACGTAGAAATGAAGGAATGCAAAAAAAAGTTTTTAAACCAAACAATAAAATTAATTAATGAAGACATGGATTAATGAATAGTTTTGATGATTAAGGTGTCGAATATTCGTCATGAGAATTTTGAAGCTACATCAAGTGCGTTGCCAGGAGGATCTTGATTCCCTATTAAGCATTTTAAATCGAAGCGAAAGCACGGCTTAAAACTTTTGAGGTGAGCAAGACCCTCCCGGCTAAACGCTTGAGCTAAACAATCAGTAAATAATTTTTTTAATGCATCATATCATATGTTGCAGAATATGACAGTTCGAGAGCAAGGATTGCATTCATAAGTTTCAGCTCTACCCAGAAAATTCTAACTTCACTTCAAGCTTCTTGGAGATAAATTAGAGTTTAAAGCTTTCAAGCTAGGGTTATCAGATATCTTTTTGAAGAGGTCATTTCATGCGTTTACCAATTTTATCAGAGCTCGAAGTCGACTAGAGTCAAGTTGAGTCGTCTCGGAGTTGAATCCAAGACAATGAAGTCGACTCGAGTCAAGTCGAGTCGTCTCGGAGTTCAAGCTCTGAATTTTATTCGTTTTCTGGATGGATCAGACCTTTAAAAAACCAAGCAGATGGTCAACTTACTTAAAGCTTTAATTGATAACAAAACATTAATTTTAATTTTTCTCAAAATTTTATTCATCATTCTTCCACAACTTCATCATCTTCAGGAACCTTTTCAACCATAAAATTTGGATCAGCAATCAAATTTCCATCAAGTCCTTCCGAGAACATTTTATTCCTTACACCAGCTTCAGGAACACCAAACTTCACCATCTTAAAATACTTTTTATACACAAATGATTCAGATATTTTAATCATATTGCAGTTTGCAGGCTGTTGAGGCTCTGGAGGATTGCTTTGAACTTCAGTTGGTTGAAGTTGTTGTAGAGAGTCAGTCTGTGGTGTAGTTTGGTCTGTTGTTGATGATGTTTGGGTTGGTGGTTCTGGATGAGTTACTTGTGGTTGAGGAGGTGCATGAGCTGGAACTTGAATTTCCGATTCTAAAGGAACTGATGCGAGCTGGGAATAATGAAGGTTTGGGATTAAATTATTATGATGTTAATAAATTATTTTAAAAACTTGAGTCATTTCCGAATGCCTGAGTCACACCGGCTTGGTGCTGGATTTCTGATCGATTAACTGACTTGTGCCATTCGGGATTTAATATATTTATTTGAATATCATAAATTCTCTAAGAAAAAAACTAATGCATCCCCAAGAACCTCAATAAGGAAGTCTCAAACTCACCTTAGCCTCAATAATTACCAAATTGCTTTCAATTCTGTTCAACTTTCTCTCAAATTCAAAGAATTTAGTTTCACAGTTAGTCATAAATTTATTTAAAAATGTCGACGTTGAGATTAAAAATTCGTTGAAAAAGGTTTGCATTCGTTTGCTGTTTAGTGCCATTTTTGGTATGTTTGGGTCTTAAGTTGACTGTTGGAAGTGTTGAGTATTGGATTATTGGCGATTTTTATTCAGATTTGAACTAGTTTTATAGCTATTAAATAAAGGATGATGATAATGTGAAGTTGCTTGACTAGATTCACTTGAATTAAGATTTTTCGCTGTATGCACTTGTTATGTATGCACAAAATATTTTCTTTGATATGTTTAAGATTGCTTAAAATTCAGATTGAGCTATTTAAAAATTATTATTTAAATTTTTTTGATTAAAACATTTTCAAGTTTAAACTTCAAAGTTTAAAAGTTTTCTCTTAATTTATGAACAATTTGCCACTGTCTATTGGTTCATCTCTTTTACTGCTCTTTTGTTGATAGGAGCATAATCGTCTGATCTGACTGCAAATGAACTTCTTCTCGAATTTAACTAGTTTGGTCTCTTAAATTCGTGAAAAAACTTTGTTATCAAAACTGAAAAATTGTAAACAAAAACACGAATTTTTGAAACATCTTTAAAGTACTTAGTTTTGTCTGTCTGGCAAAACTTAAGCAAAAAGACCGGTTGTATCTGGTTATATGATTAAAAATGTCTTAAATTTATTGATTTGTTAGATTTTAAAATTATGAATCATACACAAAGTCGCATTCCTCACTAAAATACCCTCGAGGGCATCTCCTCTCCACAAATAGCTGCATCCAGCTCACTCCATTCTTCTTATGATTCCAACATCTCATTTACAACTACCTTCAATCTCCATCGCTCCCCAAAAATTAAATATTCTGTGCAGCCATCAGCAGCGTGTCATGAATCTCCTTAGCATAAGTAATTTGTGTCTTGACAAGATCCAAGTACTGCATATAAGTTAGTGCATTTTCTTGTGCCATATTTTCACTTCTCGTTGGTACAACTGGAACTGGAAGATAAACTTGTGAGGCATAAGCCTGTTCTGTGCATTTCTTCGCTGTGATTAAATGAAGCTCAATTTGGTCGCAAATTGAGTAAAATTCTTCAAGATGTTTATCGAATCTGGCGTTGGACTCGGGTTGCTTTGCATTTCCTGAATTATCTTGATTAAGGAGTTGTGCTGCTGATTGGAAAATATTCTTAAGAGATTCTTTGAGTGGACCGACGAGAGATTTCACTTTTGTTATGTTGTCTGGGTTTGGGGATGGCATTATGTTGGACTAGAATTTAAAAATTTTATATTTTTTCATTTTAAACTTTAAAATTTTAATTTATACCATTTGAGGTGGAACCATTGGCTGCATTTGTGGTGGAATATTCTGTTGTGGTGATTGCTGCTGAATTATGCCTTGTGGAACGTTCATGTTTGGATTCATTTTGACACTAATTTAGGTGCAAAAGTTGAATTTTAATATTTATTGTGAGCAACTTTGTCGATTTTGTTTATGTTTTTGTGGTTTGTACGTAAAAAAAGTTTCAAGTAAAATTTAACATGGGAAGCAAAAGACACCGGTACGTACGTGAAGAATTGAAGCAAAATTCAAAAATACCGTTGGGAAGAATTTATGTTTTTGTTTCATTTTTTGTTGCGGTTCATTCTTCTTCCTTTGTTGCAGAACTTTGGTCTGCCGTAGATTGAAAGTAACAAATGGAGTCTTTTTAATTTATATCATGATTATGGACCATCTTATTTAAGTAAGAACCATTCAGAGCTAAGACATTAAGTTTCAATCAAGTTTTAAATAGCTACTATGAACCAAACTGATGATTCTTCAATTACTTTCTTTAACTAAGCTCAGCATGCAAAAGAAGATGCCCCAGTAACCAAACTCAGAACGTTCTACTTTTCAGATGGTCTTTCTTTAAACATACTAGTTAAAACCTAGCTAAACTTTAAGCATTATTATAGATGATTTTAAAAAGCTGTCTTTAAATTAGTTTAAAACTATCTAAGTACGTCTTTTATATAATTGTTCTGTTTATAACTTTCTATTAACTTACTTATTTAAGCTTGTTTAAAGCTAGCTTTTTACATCGAGCTTAAAGCTGCTAACAGCAAATATCTTTTCACAGCTAGTTTAAAGAAAGATGACAACTTTATTTTCCTAGACAATGATTTTAAAATTTCATTTGAGTAATCTTCTTAAAATTGTGTACATCACCAAAGTGCAATATTTAAAAAAAAGGTATAATTAATAAAATTTAGAAGCTGATTGTCAATAGAGGACCTGAATAAAAATGGGTAAGTATAAGTTTTACCAAGAATTATCGAAAAATGCTAAATACAAAAGAAGAAAAGCATTAAAAGATCAAATTCAAAATGAAGCAAGTACGTGTTCCATTTCCAATACTTCTCAAACCCAATCTGAAGATTCCTCAAGCATTAATGTTGAATTTGTTCAGACTAATGTTTCTATAAAATCAACTGCTTCTAATGGACAAAACAACACTTTAAAAACAAATTTAGTCAAATGGAGCGTTAAAAATAAGATTTCGGGAGTTGCAGTTTCGGGACTACTTAAAATTCTGAGAAAAGATGACGTTAAAGGGCTTCCTCTTGATTCACGTACGCTATTAAATACTTCACGTACGATTTCAATTGGTATTTTGCATCCTGGAACATATATCCATTTAGGCTTAGAAAGGAATTTAAATAATACTTTTAAATAATACGAAATTCTTCCAACTACACTTGTAATTGACGTAAATCTTGACGGTGCACCAATTTTTGATAAAAGCTACGAATACGGAACGTTATGGCCTATTTTATGTCACATAAATAATTTAGAATCGTCAGTTTTTGCCGTTGGTATTTATGGTGGTGGATCAAAGCCATTAAACTTTAATGACTCTTTAGAACCATTTGTAAATGAATTTTTAAACATTCGCGATAGTTTAAAGCAGTTTAAAGGTTTAAACATTTCATTAAAAATTCACAATATTTTTCTTGACGCTCCAGCACGTTGAACCGTTTGTGGGATTAAAGGTCACAATGGTTATAGTTCATGTCCAAAATGTTTGGATGTAGGAGTAAAAAAACCAAATGGAAAGTCGGCTCTCATTAATACTGATGCTCAATTGAGAACAAATTTAAATTTTCGTAACCAGACTGATAAGTATCATCACAACCACACGAGTATTTTAGAAAATATCCTAGATTTGGATATGATAAACTCATTCCCGATTGATTACCTATATAATATTTTATTAGGGGTCACGAGAAAATTATTAGAAATGTGGTTTGGTTCTAAAGCACTCTATCCGCCATCAGTGAAAATTAGAATCTCCAAAAAAATCATGGAACTGTCTTCTTACGAGCCAAAAGAATTTACCAGAAGATTAAGATGTTTAGAAAAAATGGGAATGTGGAAAGGAACGGAATTAAGAACTTTCCTACTATACATTGGACAAATTGCTTTAAAAGACGAAATTTCTTTAGAACATTATAAGAACTTCTTACTGCTAAATATTGCTATAAATATTTTAGTCGACAAAGAAAAATGTAAGGTGCGCGCAGTTCGTTTAGACGCACTTTGAAAAATCTAAAATTTTGTCTTATTTACGTTTCGTAGCAAACTTAATCTTTTTTAATATTAATCTATCAATAAAAACGATTATTTACTGAGGGTTTTAGAATTTTCCATCAAGTTTTTCCAGAGATTTTCCTTCATTAAAGTTATCATGTTGCAAAAATTTTGATAAATTATTCAAACTATAATTTTGAGTTAATTTATTATTCTTTTTACTGATTTCCATAGATAATTGTCCATAATATTAGAAAGTTAACAGATATTTAGGCTTTCTTTTAAGTATAAGGCGAAAATATGTGAAAAATATAATTATGGTGAAAAATTTCCACCACTTTCATAGATTAATCAACAAATTTTGACAAATCTGTTGATACCATAATAAATTTGAATAGACCAGCTTATTTATCGTATTAAACTTAGTTACAAACAGAAAAATGCATAGCTCTATGGCTAATGGAACTTGAAAATTTTACTGAAAAATTAAGTTGTCGTGAAAAAATTTCACCATAAAAAAATAAAATTTTGAAAAACATTGTTTTAGGCAATTGTTTCATTTGAATTAAGTAAAAAAAGTGTTTCTGTCTCAAAATTAATCAATTTAAAACATGAATTAAAACCTTAGACTTAAAATCTCACTTTAGTAAATTATCACTTTCCATTGATAAAAATGTCAATTTATTTTTCCCAACGTCCGAAAGTAACGAACTTTATAAAATCAAACCAAATTCTTTTTTCTTTTCGATGATTATTTTCGAGTTTTCGAAACAAAAAGTAAACAAAACTTAAAAAAATAAATAAATCTAAAAAGATTAATTACCAAGTCCTACTCTAGTTTTAAAGGTAAAAGTAATTAAATATGAGAAAAGAGAATATGATGACTAGCGCTAAAATTATATATGTATATATATATATATATATCCAGATATGTTTAAAAATTTTTTTCAATCTTTATAAATTTTCATTGATTTTGCACGCTTTATTTCTTAAATATTTTAGATACATTTGAGGAAGTTATTTTGTACACAAAAGAGGCATCAGGATACGAAAATTCTGCAGACGAGAATATTAAACGTGAGAAGAAGACACTCGCACGTAAACATCCAATTAAATCAATTTTACCTGACTTATCGCAAACCATTAAGGTATTATTTTTTGATTCATTGTTTTGATTGATTGATTAATTTAAAAGATGCCGAAAGATCAGATTTAATGATGAGAGTAGGTAACATTTAATTAGACTTGAAATATTTAAGATTTTTGAGAATTTCGAGACAAATTGATAATTTTTATAGTTTGACGACACTTTTCTAGAAATTAGTTTCATTTTATTGAGTATTTTGTCAGAATAATAAGGATTTTTCAATCAATAAGCCACTAGCTACTTATAAATTAATTTTCGGGATTCTCATTTCATAATTTTTGAAATGGTCAAAAATAATTTGAATATTTTCGAATAAATTTCGAGTGCTTGCAGATATTGCCATTCATTCTTTAAAAAATCCGTTAGAATGTAAAGGCATTGCTTGATGAGTTCCGTTATTTCCAGCATATTGATATTTTTTACATTATTAAACTAATTTTGGCAAATATTCGGTATTAATACAAGACTGACTCATGGACATTTAATTGAACGTACGAGCACTCCGACCTGCAGATGTGCGGAACCACTAATGGTGAAGCACATCCTCAGCTACAGCCTTGACAAACAACAACAAGACAAATACAAAACCGACTTTAACACTCAATATATTTTAGCGGCTTTTCGCAGATTTTGATCAAGTCAACTCGACTTTTTTAAAAATTCGCTGGTTTTTATTTTTCGCTGATTTTTGAGTGATTTTTCGCTGATTTTTTTTAAAGTTAAAATTTCGCTGATTTTTTTTATCAAAATTTTGCTGATTGACCCTATACTATTTAGCATCAAATTACAGATGTACTAAAATTACAGCTGTAGATTACAGATGTACTTACGTCGTTACGTAAAAATCAAATTACAGCTGTAATTTACAGTTGTAGTTTAATGTGTATAAATAACATCTAGCTAGTGAATACAGATGGTGTTTATTGCTTAGACAAGTGCTTAGCTGGACTTACAGTAGATGTAACTTTCGTGAATTCCGCTGGTTTTGACTATAATTTTTCCTTTTACAAAAAGATTGAATAGAAAACGAGGAACAGTAGCGCGCAAATTTTGAGGAAGTAATTAAGTTTGAGATACGAATTGATGATGAACTTTAAGGATTCGAAAGCTTTTTCAGGAAGATTTTTAATGAGTATGTTGTTGGCTTCATCTAGTCCCGGAGCTTTAGGATTTTTCAGATTTCTTATGATGCTCACAAACTTGTTCTCAGCTGTTAATTCTAGATTCTTATCATTCAATAATTTGCTATTCGCCGTTTGGTTTGATGGTTAAATCTCTGATGCATTTTCAATCTCGATGTTTTGTGTTGAAGGCACCACAGATGTAGAAGTTTCCTATCATCTTTGTTGATTTAAATGTACATTTATTTCTATTCCTGCGCTTGCTCCTGTGAGTTAGACTGAGCGGATGTGATAACTAGTTGTTAAATTGCTGAACACTTTGATTCCAATGCATTCCATTAGTTTTTTATTGTAGCTTGGTTCAAGCCAATGTTTAAGTTTTCTTTTGACGAGGATCGCAATACCATCAAACTGTTTATTTTTTTTTATCAATTTCACTGATTCAAAAAAAGATTGCATTAAGAGATTTAGAAAAAAACATTAAAATTTTTGTGAAATATCAGCGAATTTTTTACGAAAAATCAGTGAAATTTGTCGAAAAATCAGCAATTTTTAATTAAAATAACAGCGAAATTTTAATTTAAAAAATCAGTGAAAACCACTTTAAAATCAGCGAAAAATCACTTGAAAATCAGCGAAAAATTAAAATCAGCGAATTTTTAAAAAGTCGAGTTGACTTGACTGAAAAATCAGCGAAAATCAAAATCAGCGAAAAGCCGCTAAATTCCACGAGGTACTTTAACACTCTTAAAAATGACAATAGAGAAAAGCTAATCTCAGTCGTGAATTATTTAAAAGAATTAGGCATATACGAAAAGATTTAATCCACACTAGCTATGTTACAACTGAAAAGAAATAATTGAAAAATTTATCTTAAAGGTTTTTATGCAGTTTGAAATAGTTTAAGTACTTTTTCATACTGCTTTTCCTTTTAAAAAGATAAATATATGGAAAAGTAAAGGTCCTTTAATTTAAATACGGACCATAATAAATATAATAATAATAATATCCGGTATTAAATTTTAACTCTGTTTTATTTTATGATGCATTTTTAGAAAATAAAAACTGAAGTCAAAATGAATGGTGCAGATAATGAGTACTTTATCTCACCATCTACTTCGCCAAGTCATCAGCAAGTTGATTTAAGTAATTCGAATATAGTAAGTTTTGTATATTTTATGTTATTATGATTATTCCTGGGAGTTATGGAAATTAATTTGCTTTCTTTTTCTCGATTATTTTTTTAAATTACATTTTTTGAGGATATGAATACAAGTTCAGTCCAATCTAATCAACATCAATATCAAGACCAGGAAAGTTTGGATGCTGTTCGTGAAATTTCATATGAAGACTCGGGTATCAATCACGAACCGAAACTTATTTTGATTGATGAAAATTCTTTAAAAGTACGTAAACGCAATTTTTTTAATTGTTGGTCCTTTATTCAGAATCATTCTACTAACTTATTTTTTACAGACTGCACTACAGATTTTGGGCACAATTCAACAAGATATAAAAGTTTTAAATGATGCTGTTTTAACAGATAATCCAATGAATAAAACTTCAGGTTTTTTAATCAATAAAATCGCATCCAAGGAAGATTTAAACATTCTTGTTCACCAACTTGAGGACGAAAACAAGAAATTGAAATTGGTGAGTTTTAATTTATTTTTATTATGTTCTAATTCTGATTCTATCACTTTTTTTTGTTTTATTATCTAGATTAATATACTTAAGCTGAAAGGTGGAATGAGTGGCTTTCACGACGACATAAATGCAAAAGTTGCAACAATCATATATTTTTTTTTCGATAAAGAAATCCTAAAGAAAATGAATTGGGGAGCAAAAAATGGTGTTCCTCGATCAGACCAATTATGCCTCATTGATTTTCCAATAATTATGGAAATTATGAGAGCAGTTTTGTCTAAAGAAAATGAAAAAGGAGAAGCAATGGTTGTTGATGAGGTGAAGTTGAGAACTGCTATTCAAAATGTCTTCAAGAATCACATCCACAAAAAAAAGCATCAATAAGTTTTAATTTAAGCTCTTTCTGCATATGTATTTTTTTTTTGTTAAATAGAAAATGCTTCATTCTTCTTCAAATAAATTAAACTTCATAATCGACTTTAAAAATGACATATAAATTAAATTCAAAGCTCCACTTTACCACAAAAGGAGAATTTTTAACAATTCTTTAATTTAACTTCAATTAAAAATAAAAGCACATAAAAGTACATTAAAAAATTGTTTCAGAAGAAAAAACCTTTTAATTTTCATACTATAATATTAATAAGTCAATTATATTAACAATTTTATGATACTTTTCTACTGGTTCATATTTAACTGACTATGACCATAATTCCATTAAAAAAACCAAAACAATAGGAAATTGGCAAGCGGTAGCCAGCAATATAGCCAGTTTTAGGCGGCATCTGAGGGAGGCCATGAATGACAATTGATCTGTAAAGTCATCGAAGTAAGAAAGTAAAGTAACTTAGCTCACACATAATGCACCAAATATTTCTAAAAGCACTTTAAATACAAATAAATTGAAACAAAAAATAAACGGTTTATTAGAAAATTTTAAATCAAATTTTATTTTCCCAAATCACCAAAATACGTTTATAAATCCAATAAAGATTTTAATTAAGAATTTAAATGCAAAATTTTATCAAACAACAAACTGTCATGAAACATCATCAAGAAAATAATTTGATTATTGTACCTTATATTCTCTGGTATGGTAACGAAAGTGTTAATGACAAGATTGTTTCTCTAGAAGTCGATTCCAAAGAAGCTATTTGTTATACCAAAATAAGGTTTAAGTTGTAAAATTCCAAGTCAGTATGTAGCTCAACAAATTATAAACCTTTTTAAACAAAAAAAAATTAACAATTTTTTAAGTGGCACACAAAGTTCAAGTGACTTTGATTTAATTTTAACTCTTGTGCCACAAAATTTAGAAACTAGAATCTTTTTATAAATATAACTAATATCATATAATATGATCCTAGCGGCATACGACTATAAAATATCATACGTCACTATGAACTGTCTTGTATAAAATTTGTAAATTCTGTACGTAAATGTCGAAGTACACGATTGATTCCTTTACAGTTTGCTCTTAATTGGCTGTTCGCCAGCTTTCATCAGTACTTGTTGCATGAGTTTAAGTGCTTCTTCTAAACTTTTCTTGAACAACTGCGTGCTGGTCTCATTGTTGCTTCTCATGCTTGATAGACCGAACCACATGTCGTTGTTTCTTGGTGAATAGCAACAGCTAGAAGATTATCAAACTTGATATCTATAGATTTAATAAAAATATCAAACAACTTACCCATATCCATCGTAAGTCAATGGTCCATAGCACATAAATGCATTATACACACTTGGTACTTGACTAGTACTCAGCCTATAAGTCGAAGCTTTAACATATCCTTCATCAGCATACAAAGCTGGAACTTCAATTCCATTTTCCCTTGCAATCAGCTTTAAACCAAGTAAATGTCTATCAATTCCAAATCCTTGTACAGCCTGGCTGACGTACTTTTTATGTGCATCAATTGCATCCTTCATCTTCTGTACCTTTTCCTTATCATCTTTAGACTCAACCATTGCCTTAGCAAATGCAACTGATTCCTTGGAACATGATCGGATGCATTCAGTTCGTCCATGGACATACAATCTAGTTCCAGCACTTTCATAATGAGCACCAGGAACATGATGAAGTCGATAAAATGCAAACTGAATTGCCATTTGGATGAACGAGTCTGGTGAGAACTTCTGTGTCTTGATAAAGTTCTTTCCGTAGTCATTAAAGTGGAGGTAGTTCATGTCCACATCTGCTGTTAGCTTGTCAATATTTTCTGATGATAATTTAATGGCTTGTTCAACTTCTGGAGATGATTGGAAGGTCAGCAGAGCTGGTCTCTCAAAATTTCCAGTTCCAATGGCAGTTGTAGCTTTTCCAGCTTCATGATCGTTGACATATTTTATGACTTGATCAGTTAAGACTGCAATTGGTCCTCCTTCAGCTGGAGAATGTTCATAAGTAACTCCATTGATGCCTCTGGTTCCAATAATGAACTGAATTGTTTTGTCGTACCATCGGTTGCCTGAGTTGTGACTTGATCCAGCTCCAGTAAGGAACAGATACTCGCCTGTGACAATATCATCCTTGATTTGTGGAGTTTCTTTATCGATTGACAAGAGAAACAATGACTTCTGGATGTCCTCAAGTGATGCTACATTTTGTGTATTTTTTATCAATTCTTGGTAAGCTTTAGCCCAATTGTCACGATTGTCAGATGTCAAGACACCAATCTTAAGTGGATTCTTTACTTTCATTGCTTCATTGACACAGAACTGAAGCTGCTCCATCAACTGATTCTCTCCTAAAATATCTCCATGGACATTATAGACTGGAACTTTGAAGAACACATCATTTATAGCTACAGCAATATGAGTTGAGTCTCTATTAAACTCTACAGAGTCTTGTGGTAAGCCAGGGATGCGACATGTTCCAAAAACATTGTGGTATTGCTGCATATCCATCTCATTCTTTCCCATCTTCTCAACTGCTACTTTTTTGGCATCAATTAGGCTTTTGAATTGCATTGCGGCTAAAAATATTGAAAATTGTTGAAATTTGGATTGATTCTTGAAGAAAAGGGAAGCATGAAGGTATGATGAAAAGATCTTAGTACATCAGAGTACGCTTTCCATGACTACTCGGGTTCAAGAATCATAAAATGGCCTAAAATCTCAGCTTTGAAACTCTTGGGGCTCTTAAGAACCATGTCTGAACAATTCTACAGACCTATGATGCATGACTATTGATATTACACACATGTCATTAAATCATTAGCATTAATGCCCCAAAAAAAATTCAAAAACTTGTTTTTCTTCCTCGCAAATTAAAGTCATGGAAGCAAAAACAAAAAAAAAAAAAAAACAGCACAACTTACAGTAAATAACCCTTGTCGCATACTTCAGTCTATCATCCATTGTATCGAACTTCCTCTGGGGCATAACAATTCCAGGCGACGACCAAATCACAACTGGATCTCTATACTGCAAATAAGCACAGTTCAGCCACCAATTAGATGTTGGATCTGACAACCAATTCTCCTTCTCTCCAGCTCTCTTCTCCAATAATTGCTGCAACTTTTCACCAACTCCACCAGCCTTTCCAAATTCACGGACCAAATTTTTTGTATTCTCAAAATTCGATGCTGGCAAGTGAGGCTCGACTGTGTCAAGGAATTTCGTCAATGTATCATTTAACTTTGGTACAGGCAAGTGCGGCAGACCTTGTGGATTTGAATTTGATGCATAATTGCTACTGGACACTACTTTACTGGACATTTTAAGGATTTGATTTGACTTTCTGAATGCACCAATCATCTAGACACGAAGAGATAAAATGAATTTGTAGACGTGGATATGCCAGAAAAGACGGAGAAAGAGTGAAACTGAGCAGCACAACTAAAAATCTTGCTAAACCAGCTCAACTTACTTGTGCTGTGTTTTCTTATTGCCGCTGTTTGTATGACTGAACGGTTGGAGAAAGAATGTGGAACTAAGACCGACTTGAACTTTAGATTGTCGTAAAATAACTTGATTTTTTTGATATTGTTTTGTAATGTTTATGCTTCTTGTTATTTTGGTTCTCTCGCATTTTTTGGTTGCTTTCACTTTTTCTATTAAGAAATTGAGAGAATGAGAGAGGAACAGGGAGAGGAACTGTGTCTGAGAGAGACAAGTTTCTCTCTGTTTTGGTTCACAGCTGGTTTGAGATTTTGTGAAACAAAGCCGGATATGTTCAGATTTCATCTCTGAAAAAGCGGGACAGGCCAAATTTTCAAGCATTTTCCAAGAAAAATGGGGCTAAAAAAGGTCCATCCTTCCTGAAACAATGGAACATCCTAAGCATACATTTGTCACTTTTAAAATTCACTTCAATAAAATTGCCATTCCAAAGATTCTCAATAACGGCAACAAAATATTCAAAATGAACTCAAATCTGCTAAAATAATCAACTTTTAGCACAAAAGTCAATCATTTTGTGTGGCAACTTTTATAATTTAATTTTTTTAATTTCTACCTCATCATGACAGTGTCAGTTCTCGGCGGTGGCATTGCCGGTCTCTCAACCCTTTACTACCTCTCATTACGTCAAAATATACCTCGTGTCAAGCTTTTTGAAGCCTCATCACGGTTTGGTGGATGGGTCAAGTCATCAATTGATAAGAATACAGGTGTAGTTTTTGAGACAGGGCCAAGGTCACTTCGTCCAGTTGGAGCTGTTGGATTAACGACATTGGAATTGATTGAGAAGCTAGGAATTGATGATAAAGTTGTTCCTGTCCATAGAAGTCATGTTGCGGCTAAAAATCGAATGGTTTATGCAAAGAATAAAGTATGCATGATGCCAAATGGACCTGGTGGCTTAATCAAGACAATCCCGCCATTTTCAAAGCCATTGTTCTTTGCTGGACTTAAAGATATATTCACTGGAAAGTCAAAAGTTCCACTTGAGGATGAATCAATTTATGATTTTATTGCTCGACGATTTGGCAAGGAAATTGCCGACTATGCAATAAGTCCAGTAATTTGTGGCATTTGTGCTGGCGATGCCAAAGAAATTTCTGTTAAATTTTTATTCAAAGAAATTTTTGAAAAAGAGCAAAAGTATGGTGGAGTCATAAAAGGCGCAATAAAAGGCAGAAAAGACAAAAAGCCGGAAGTTCCAATTGAAAAAACATCATTCATGAATCAAGCTAAAAATGAGGGTTGGTCATTGTACAGAATGCAGGATGGCATTGAAATCATTCCAAAAAGAATTGTCGAAAAATTAACGGACAATGAAAATTTTGAAATGAATTTAAATTCAGCCTGTGAACAAATATCCTTTAAAAATGACGAAGCACATATCTCAATAAATGGAACTAATCAACCAGCACAACATGTTGTGTCTACATTGCCTGCTTTTACACTTGCCAAGCTTATTGATCAACAACATCCAATATTGGCTAATGAACTTCATGCCATTCCATACGTTGATGTTGCTGTGATTAATTTGCTGTACAAAAAGGAAAATTTACTCAAAGATAAAGGTTTTGGGGTCCTTATTGCTCCATCTGAGAACATGCCGATCCTTGGAATCATTTTTGATAGCTGCATTGTTGACTGTAATGACAGCACAGTCTTGACAGTCATGAGTGGTGGACGATGGTTTGATAAACATTACGGAAAGGATTCTTCGGATGAGAAACTGCTTTCAGCTGCTTTGGATGGAATTTCAAAAATTTTGGGCATTAATGAGAAGCCAGACATCTTTGAGGTTCATTTGAATCGACAATGCATTCCACAATATGTCGTTGGACATCATCAGAGAGTTGAAAGGATTAGGAAGTATGTTAGTGACAATAAATTGCCATTGAGTTTGGGAGGTGCTGCATTTGATGGCGTTGGTGTTAATGATGTTATAATGTCTTCCAAAAATATTGCTAATGGATTGAAATTTTAACTCAATTTATATTTGACTTTATGCTGTTTTTAAGGCAGAACAAAAAAATACGAATACTCATGAACAACTCTGGCCTAGCCAATAATGTCTGTTATAAATGATATAAAAAGTTTTAAGGATATAAGTTCATTATTTTGATTTATTATTTTTAAAATAATTTTTTATAAGTTTCAGCCTCTGCAATCATTTCACTAAGTTCCCTTCTCTTCTCTGTCGTACTCTCCTTATCATGCTCATTCAACTTGACATAAATTTCATCATTATTCTCAAAATCACCAGGCTTTCTAGGCATCACATGACAATGAACATGCTTTACAGTCTGTCCAGCAAATTCACCATCCTGAACTGTTATTGTCGTACTTTTTGCATCATGATATTCATCAAGGACTTTAGAAATTTTACAGGCAGCATCAAAAAGTTCATGCGTTTCAGCCTCATTCATGTCCTCAACTCTTGGAATCAACCTCTTTGTGGCAATTAAAACATGTCCAGGAACTACGCATCGAATGTTTGTGAATGCAACACAATGTTCAGTTTCATAGAAAATTGTTCTTGGGTCTATTGGATATTTCTCAAAAATAAATGGAAGCTCATTCGGAACACTAAACTCATTTTGGACTTTAAACTTCAGCGAGTACACATCTGGTCGTCTGTGACTGCCACAAGGCATGTTCCTCTCAACTTTTTCAATTTTTGATAAATCAATTTCAGCAAATTGAACTTCCAGTTCTTCTGTACATCTAGCAATGATGTCACCCCATGGAGACACAACAACTGCTTGTCCATAGCTGCTTCTTTTATCATTATGCTTTCCTTGCTGTGCTGCTGAGACGATATAACATTGGTTCTCAATAGCTCGACAACGATTCAAAATGTCCCAATGAGCTTTGCCAGTTGTAAGTGCGAATGCTGATGGAAATGTTATTAAGTCTGCACCTCGGGATTTAAGCCAGAGTGCTCCTTCTGGGAAGCGAATGTCATAGCACTAAGATAAAATTGTTATTAGTCAAGCATGATTAAGGTATGGGATAAGAAACTCGAAGAGATTAAGATAAAAACAATGAGGAATCCAAGATAAATCAATCAATACTCACAATTTGCAGTCCAACATTCCCAATTAGTGTCTTAATCGGCTTCGTTATCTCCTTTCCACCTTCAACAACCTTAGATTCTCGAAACTTAAACTCTGGAGTGTCAACATCAAACAAATGTAACTTCCTATAAACTCCTGCAACTTCACCATCAGAATCAATCAGCACATGCGTATTTGATATCTTTCCATCCTTATGTCCATCAATTTTCTCATGTATTCCTCCAAAGCTTCCCCACATTGAGTGTTCCTTACATAAATTTTTATAAAATTGAACAGTTTCACCATTCAGCGGCTCTGCAAGACTCAGAGTCTCATCAGCATTCGTTCCAACATAATCACAGCACTCAGGAAAGAACAGGAAGCTTGCTTTGTCTTTTGATCTAACAAAAAGTTCCTTGACAAGTTCTCGGTTCTTGAGTTTGTCATTTGTTGATCGCATTTGACATAGTCCGATGATATTTGATGACATTTTGTATAGACTTCGATTAGATATGTAGAATGATGAGAATTTTGTAGATGCGATGATACGATATAGCATAACTACGGATATAAAATGATATTTGCTTGGTTTGAGAAGATTTTGAAGGGATTTTGAATGAATTTTGTTGATTTTCAAATATTGTGATCAAGTTTGTTTTAGAACTGAATCTTATTTTGCAATGACTTTGATGCAGATCTACATTAAATGAGCATATGCTGATTGATACTGTAAAGGAATAGGTAGGGAAGGTTTGTAGTCAAAAGTTTGGATGATGATAAGTTCTATTAGAATAGCATGATCTAAGCTGTTTGGACTACGTCTAATTTCAAGGTTGATATTCTTGATTGCACATATGATAAAAAAGTCTGAATACATTGTCGCTAAGCCATTGTTAAGCTGGCATGGCTCTACTCCTGTTAAAAGTTGAAACCGACTTGGTTACAGTGTTTTCGATCATTTCTACGCCGTCTGCTTCTTGGCATTTACAAACTTGCTTTATAGTCACATTTAAGAACACTAAACAGCATAAAACCAAGACAGACAACAAGTTTGACGCAAAACTATCATCTAGACAGGACCATTGCATTTTTTAGCATCTCAACCTTATTGTGTCCTTTGAGTAATTCACAAAAATTGAATTTATTTACCTTTATGACGATTGTTGTAGTTTTAATCACCTGAACTTAGTCTAGTTGTCAACTAAACTGTTTATTGTCCAATAATATACACAGCTTTTTTAACAGACAGTTATGGAAGTCTTGCAAAAAATAATGAGAAACTTTCTGATCTGTTTACTTTTTTAAAGATATTTGTTGTACGTAAACTTACGTACGTAAATTTTATTTGTTGTTATTCAACTCCACGTAGCTTTTAATCAGCTGATTTTTGTTTACAAATTATTCTCTTATTTAATTTTTACTCTCACCGATTCAATGAGAATAATCCTCTCACTGAGAATCTGAATTCTCCGACTGATAAGAGAGAATTACACACAAGATTTGGTTTTGTTGCCAATTCCAAATGTTCTCAAATAGAAAATGAAAAATATTCTTGCGTAGACGAATAAAACCGAACTTTTGTCGACGCATCTTCATCCAAAAATGTGCGATGGTGGTGTAATGGTCAGCATTGTTGCCTTCCAAGCAATAGATCCGGGTTCAATTCCCGGCCATCGCAAGATTTTTTTTTTCAATTTTTTTATTTTTTTTTTAAGTTTTAATTTTTTTTTTGTATTATTAGGAAACTTAATTTTTTTCTCTTTTCTGTTTTAAAATCGACGTTTTCTGTCAATGACTTGAACTTGTTTTTGCTCATTTCCAAGCATACTAATGAAATGCTTTCAATCTTCTGCTGAAGAATATGGAAGGTCAGTTGTTGTTGTTTTCGTTTCGAGCTATTTTAAGCTTCTCTTAATCACATTGATCACAGTTAATTTTATTTGCCAAAATTCAAGTGTGTGGTAATGATGAAATGATCAAAAATAATCAAAATGTAATTTATCAGTTCCGCACCCTTGCAAAAATCACCAATAAAAAATAAAATGAGTACTGAAAGAGAAATCTTTGAATTTGAGTATCAAAAAAATATGAGTAGGGTGACCATCTGCGTAGTTTTACAACGGACAGTCCTGTATTTCAAAACCCTGTCCTGTATAAATTTGAAAATTTTGTTCCAGGTCCTGTATTTTTTCCATGAAAATTTCCGTTAATTTTCAAATTTTCCTTTGTGTCCTGTATTTTTTGGGAAATTTGTCAAATGTCCTGTATTTTCATAAAAATTAGATGGTCACCCTAAATACGAGTCCGTAAGTTGCCAGTAATTGTTCAATTCTTTCCCTTAAATTGGAATTATAAGCATCCAATACATAGCTACACTACATGTTTAGTCAATTAACGTTCAAAACTCAGAATAAACCGAGCAAAATTATATAAAAAAATCCATAAATCCATCTGCATCAATGCAAAAGGTACAAAAAACAAATTCCAAGACAATGCCAAAAATCAAACATTTATTCACGACTGCTTTTCCATTTATCTCGTCCCCATTCCAATTTCCCAAAGATTATTCTGATTTTTTTTTCTTCATTTCCTGAATGTCTCTATTTCCCCTCGCAGCCCTTCAATTCCTCCCATCTGCTTTATTTTAAATTCCACTGCCACTTCATTAATATGCATCAATGCACACTTCCGATACCTTTAAACTTTTGCTTTGTATCATTATATTGACAATTTTCAATACTATTTCAACTTATTGTCTATTTATTATTATTAATTAATTATTAATTCCCTAATTATCTGATTATTCTAGTTTTATGCACAACTAAAGCATAGTCAGGATTGTTAATGCGTCACATTTATTTTATATTCAATTGCTCTCTCGACTATCACTATAATAATCGCTATCAGTTAATATTCTCGAAGTTGTTGTTGTTCTCATTGTTGTCGTGTACAACTTATATAGACCAATTGGCAATTCATCAATTTTTCCTTGTTTAATCCATGACAGATACATCTTATTTTCCCAATCCACGACTGGAACTCGTTCATTTACCAAACCACGTCCAGGTACGAATCGCATTCTATTTTCTGCAACAACATATGGAAGATCAGTTGTGGTACTTAATGGTGTTATTGTTGTTGTTGTTTTTGTCTTTCTTGGTTTTCTGGTGGTTGTTGTAGTTGGTTGAGTTGTTGTGGTCGGAAGTGTAGTTGTTGAATTTATTTCAGGTTCTGTTGTTAACAATTCATATTTTCCCATCAATTTGAGAAGGAAAATGTGGATTTTTGAGTTTATTGAAAGTTTACGTGCTTCAATTTGGTCGTCTGCACATTCCACAGTCTTTACAGAAACCAGCAACATCAATATTAAGTTAAACGATATCATTTTTCCACAAGTATAATTTAAATTTTAAAGAAATATAAAAAAAATTATTGCAAATAAAATCAAATGAGGATTGAGAGAAGAAAAAAATCTTTGAATTTGAGCATTAAGCATTAAGAGGAGATAACTTCAATTAAACTCAGTTCTCTTTTAAAATGCGTAATTTATTGAACCAGAGATCTTGTTTTTACACAGATTTGCTGTCATTTTCTATCTGTTTGTTGATAATATATTTAGTTTTAGGGAAATCTATACATCCTTGGTATGTCTTGTAAATGCTTAAAACTTACAATACAAGAAAACATATTTTCTTGGTTATCTGAAATCTAAAGCTAATCATCAAAATCATAAAAATCGTTTTTATTCTTCACTGTCACTATAATAATCACTTTCAGTCAATGTTCTCGGAGTTGTTGTTGTTTTCTTTGTTGTTGTGTACATTTCAAATAATCCAGGTGGTAAGACTCTGATTCTTCCCTCTTTGAGCATCCATAGATATTTGTCATTTTCCCAGTCACTGATTTTAACTCGTTCATTCACCAAACCACGTCCAGGTATGAATTGCATGCTGTTTCTGGCTATTACAAATGGAAAATCAGTTGTTGTGCTGACGGTTGTTGTTGTTTTTGTCCTTCTTGATTTCCTGGTGGTTGTTGTAGATGTTGTTGTGGATATTGTTGTCGTTGTTGTGGAAGTTTGACTTTCTGTTGTAGTTGTTTCTGGGAACAATTCGTATTTGCCCATCAATTTAAGTAGGAAGATGTGAATTTTAGAGTTGATTGAAAGTTTAATTGCATCGTGTTCTAGGTTTTCACATCTTCGAGTGTTAATAAATGTTAAAAGCAATAAAATTAAATAAAATAGTTTCATTTTAATTTAAAAAATATTTATTCAAGAAACATACAAAATTATTGAGTTCTTGCTAATAAATTTAAATGAGTACTGAGAGGAATCTCTGTGTTTGAGCACAACAGAAGGCAAATAAACCATATCAGTTGATTTTAGCTTCCGCGTGGAACACGGAATTGTCTTATCAATTTGACTCGATTTTTTTTTTCATGACGCATTCTTAAAATTATACTAAGCACACCGACTAAGTTCATTATAGTCTTTAAAGTACGTTAAATATTCTAGAGTATAGATATCTTTATAAACTATAGTAGTGGGCAATGATACGAGTGGGCTCAAGGATTAGTGGGCATATATATCTCTAAGCAAAAATACCAGTGGGCTGATCTATTAACAGATCTTTGATCGCAGTGCCTTTTCGTGTATAACGAATCCTATATCTGAATCAATTCTTTTCTACCAGTGGGCTAATGTTCCAGTGGGTAAAAGTACTAGTGGCAAATGTCCCAAACCCCCCAAAATCTATTTTTTTAGTGGATTTTTGAACAAATTGCATAGTTTTTTTGATGCTTAAAGGTTAGCGAGAAAAACAATCGTGCAACATCAAAATAAGGACCTTAATGTTTAGAAACATTCAAATTTGTTCTACTGCAAACATTGTAGAACCACATTGTCCTTCTTATAACTTATGGATTTGAAATTTAATGTTAGTCATGATGGGATGATTGAATTGAGTTTATGCTGCTGTTTTTAAAATGTTGAATTGTTTATTTTATAGCAACTGATATGAAAACTATTAACTGAATCGTTCAGTACAGAAAGTATGGATGTATCAAAAAGAGGACTGAGCATTTAGATCTGAGTGGTCCAAACTTTTTGTGCCACGACATACCTTAAGGGTAAAACATAACCGAGTTCGCACACAGCACACATCGGCTCATGTCATGCCATGGTGAAAAGTTTGGCCAACACTGCTTTAGATTATTCTAAAATTATTAAAAATGAGTAAATTATTTATTAAAATAAAAATTCTTAAAATTAAGAAAAAAAAATAAAATTCTGAAAAAATATCAAATTTTTTATAAAAAAGCTTCCATCTCCACTAGCAGTCAAGCACAACCAAACAACAGAAATTCGCATGTCATGCAACAAGCAAGCAACACAAGAGACACCAAGAAGAAGACACAAACAACATCAAAAAAAGGAAAACAACACAACAAAACAATAAAATAACAAAACACAATACACACGAGTGGAAAATTTCATGCCGAAAATCCGACGAAGTAACAAAAAAGAATTTTCCTCCTCCCATTTTTTAATTGTTGTTGTTGTTGTGTTATATTCTTCTTTTTTTCCTTTACAGTTCCTGCTGTTGTGCCAATGTACACAACACAACAAGCAAAACAATAAGCAAAAAAAAAATTCGGCATCTCCGACACAACAAAAAAAAATAAAAAGGAGGAAAAAAACGCACACGAAGGTGAAGAAAAGTAGCACCCCCTCAGTTCTATTGTGCAGCGTCACACGTGCGGTCGGGAGACTTTTTTTGCGTATATTTTGAATTTTAAGAAAATATAAAATTACGTAAAAAATTTCGTTGGTAAAAAATAAAGAAAAATATTTAAATTGAGAAAGGTAAAAAAATTAATTGTGAAAATTTTAATTTTGTTTTGAGCAAAAAAAATCATGAAAAGTTTTTGAGATTGAATTTTGCAGTTGCACGTGTTGCATATGTGATAGATGTGTGTGGGACTCGATAGTTTTATAGTGTGAGGGAATGTTTGAATTGAATTTATTGAAATTCAATTTATCATTTTGTTTTGAGTCTTTATAGATTCAAATTATAAACTTTTAAAGTAAAAGTATAAAAAATTGTTAAAATGACACAAAACGTGTAAAAATTGCACAAATTTAAATTTTTTATTTGAAAAAAATAGATTTTATTCTATTATTAAAATTTGCAGTTTTTATTTGATTTTTTTTTATTTTATCAATTCATTTTGAAATTCAAACGATTTGTATTCTTTAATTGGTAAAATTTATCGTTTTGTGCTTAGATTCTCAAAAAATAATTTTAAAATTTAATTTAACTGTAACCTTTAAAGAGAAGTTTATATTTTTTATAAATAAATCAATTAATTTAAAGTTAAAAACTATTTATATCAGTAAAACATCAGATTCAAAATTCATTTTATTGCTATTCAAATTCAAAAAGTTTTCATGGTTTTTAATAATTCAAAAATGATTATATTTCTTTTTTATGATCTAAATTTAACACCAATTAGTGTTTGATTAGTTAAAATAGTGACAGCTTTCGGTAAATCTGGCAATAACAAGTAATATTGGATTGAAAAAAACTCAATTTTGTCAAATTCGTTCTTTTTGAATAAGAAATTTGAAATTTTGTAAAAATAAAAAATTAGAAAACAAATTTAAAACTTTTGATCAAATTTAAAACATTAAGACAAGTTAAAAACCAAATTAAAAAAGTGTTACAATAATTTAACTTAATTAACCTCCAAACACTCACCATTTATTAACTCCAATTAGTGAAACAAGAAAAAAAAACTAATTTTGTGTGAAATTTTTCCTACAAAAGAAAAAAAGGAAAACAAAAAAATATTAAAGGAAAATGCTCGAGTCACGTTGGCATCAAATTCAGGTTTGTGAATAGGAATTTTCCTCCTCATTTTCATTTTCATTTATTTTTTGCCTTCTTTTTAATTTAGCAATAATTGCTATTTAACCTCTCGGCATTTAACTTTTGTCTAGTTCCATTGTTGACGATACTCAATTATTGTTATGATAATTATTTTGTGTGCTGATGCTCATGATAATGAATAGGTGATTATTATGATTGTCGTGTTAAATGTGTGGACTGATTTCGAGTGCTATGTGGTGGATATTATGATACATTGATTGAGGTTATGTTACTAAGTTTGTGGTTTCTTGTTTAAAGCAATTGAAAATTTAAAAAAATTTACAAATTGAAAAATTAAGAATTTTGAAGTTTAATTTTTTTTTTGAAAAATTATAAATTTATATAAAAAATAATAAAAATAATAATAATAAAATATTTGAAAAGATTAAAAAAATTAAAACACAAAATTCAACAAAATGAAAGTAAATATTTACAATCCACAAACTCAATTTCCATCAACAAATCAGCACAATTTAAATCAATATGTTCAAACTCCAAAAATTGAAAAATAAAATTTCAATTTCACAATCGCGTAAAAGAAAAGTAAGCAAAAATGTAGCTCAATATGGTCAATGGTCATTTGCTAATTGAAAAATATTTGCGAATAAATGTTGTGAGAGAGTGAACAGCACAGCACATGAGATATATGAGAGGCAACAAGCGATGAAAAAATAAAATAAAAAATCTGCCAAACAAAGCCGCCGACATGCCAATTGTCATGCTGATATGTTACCGTTTCATTGTCATATCGACTCCAGCCATCAATGTCATGTCATTGCATTTGTTTTTATTTTGCTTTTTCGAGCTTGCTTGGGGGATCGTTTTGGAGATCAAGGGGGAATTTTAATAGTAATTGAGGATTTTGGAGTTGAGAATGTTGATGATGGATTAGGTGGAGTAAGTTGCAACATGTAAAAGTGACATTAATTATTGGTGAACTGACATCAACCATGATTTCACATATGGACGCCTTAGTTGCACCCCAAGATCCTAAATACTCTTTTAGACACATTTTAAGACACTACATATCAAATATCATTCACCATTCACTTTTTATCCTCCTGCATCCCCACTTACCAAACCTAACCTCCATCCACGTCACTATCCTTTGTCTCCATCCATCTCACATCGACTCGATTGTTTGAATGAATAATAAAACAAACTTTTCTGTCGCTTGATTTTCCTAAATGATTTCAATGACTTTTCCTGTTGTCGAATATGCGATGAGCAGCTATAGTAGCAATATAGCAATAGCATCAACAGAAGCTGAAAAGATGGAAAAAAACAAAACAACTGAAAATTTTTCCTGTTTCACTTTTTTTTATTGTCAAACTTTTTTTATGCTGTTGTCGATATTTTTCGGAAGGCGATTTCTTGTTTTTCAATAGAAGAGAGGTGGGGTTAGGGGATGGCAGGAAGGAATTTTTGAGATGGATCTGAGCAAGAGGGGATTTTTAGGGTTGAGTCAATTGAGGGTTGCATTGATCGAGGGTTGACTGACCTGTTTCATTGGTAGATTTTGAAGGTTTTTCGTTTAAATTTGGTTGGAATTTCGTTTTGATGGATGAAAGGACAGAGAGACAAATAGCCAGATAGCAAGACAGACTAATAAAAATACTGGTTCACAGATTTAAAGCTAATCTGAGCATAAGAAAAAGCACAAAACTCATACAGAGCACCCATACCCTTGGATTTCTCCGAACAAAAAGAAAAACAATTTTGCGCAATTCTCTTATCAATATTTTGCATATCCAATTCATCCCCTAAAAACTACAACAATAAAATCCAAATGGATTATGACGAAGGTGAAATTGAAGAACGACAAATAAAAACATTTTTAATAATAAAAAAAAGTTGCAAATGAAAAGGATGCGACTTGATACGAAAGTGATTATGTGAATGGAATATTCAATGGACAAAATATAATTTTTTTGCTGTCTCAGTCATTACTTTTATTAAATGATGTTTGTGTGATAATGTTCTGCTGTGAATCTTTGTTATGAATAAAAATTGCTCTTAAGTAGTTTACTTGGAAGACGGCAAAGACTTTTAAGGATGGCGAAAAAGGGAAAATTTGTTTGCATGTACGATTATTGTTATTAAAATATGTCCAGGAACATGTAATAGGTGTGTAGACAATAATCGTTTTTGATCAGAAATTATGGTAATTTTTGAAAAAGGAGACTAGTTTTGGGATGGGGAATTGGATTTTTGGTCGTCTTTGTCTTTAGAGTCTAGAATATTAGGTTTCAAGCACTTGCCTTTAGACAAGAGATTCAGGTGCCTTTAACATAAAGTTTTAATGCTAAGGCGCTTTCACATTAAAGTTTTAAGGTTGAGGTGCTTTCACAATTGAGTTATGAGGTGCAGATGCGCTCAAATTAAAGTTTGGGAGGTTCAGGTGTCTTCACAATTGAATTATGTTGTTAAGGTGCCTTTACACATGAATTATGTAGTTCAGGTACATTCACACTTGAAATATGTAGTTCAGGTGCCTTCACACTTGAAAAATGTAATTTAGGTGCATTCACAATAGAGTTTTGATTTAAATTTTTCTCAAAAATTTTTCCTAGATGTGAAAAAAATGTCTCAAAATTTAATAATCGACACATATGTCACCAATTTATAACACTTGTTTCTCCTTGCATGTACCTTTTACTCCCCTCATCGCTCAATACTTTTATTCTTTTTTCATATTTCCATACTGGTGCTGTGTTGAGTGCTCGAGGATATTTTTAAATGGCATTTTTTTTATTATGTTTGATAATATTTTCTTTTTATTATTTTACGACCAGCAATTGAATTTCAATGCGAATTTAGAATTATTGATGGAAAAAAGGGGTTTAGAGATTGACCATTTTGTTTCAATTTGTTTTGAGAAATTTTTTAAAAAGAAATTACTTTAATATTGACCTGGTTTATGAAGCTTCAATAGTGTGCGGGGTTCAAAAGAGGTGCAAAACTATGAAATTATTTTAGAACCTCAAAACCTTCAATTTAAATTCAAAATCCTCAAAAATCAGCCCAATTATATTCATAATTTTCAATTACCATGAAAAATTCCTCAAAATCACCCCTTAACTTCCAATTCTTCTCTCTTATCTCAATATTATCATTTCCCCTACCCCACCTCTCTCCCATTCTTGTGTCATTCTCTCCCTTCATTTCCATCTTTCCATCCCAAACTTTGCCCGCATTTTCTTAATAAAGACAATAAATAAACAATCTTCATGATAAACTCGAATTAAATAAAAACGGCAAAAATGCCAAAACAATAAACAATTTTCTTTCATTTCTTATATCCACTACTTTTGTCTTAGGGTGCGTGCTTCTGCCTCAGTTTTATTTCATTTTCGCTCATTGATTATTAACAGTTGAAAAATCTGTGTGTTTTCCACACTAAATACTGTAATATTGGAGAGAATAAAAAAAGAGGAAAAATATTGGCGGATATTGAAGAAAAAAAGTTAAAAGAATGGAAAGCGGAAAGTGGATGCGAAGATTATTAGATGCAGAAGTTTGTATGTATAATGAGGAGTTTAAAGTATAAAGCGCATTGTCCATAAAATGGTAAGTTACCCTATTCTTAAGAATCTAGTGAAGGGGAACTATAACCTTAGGAACCTAGTAGCTCGTAGTTAGTAAGGTGCGCGCAGTTCGTTTAGACGCACTTAATTTTTTTCAAATTTTCCTTTAATAAACACTATTAAGACAAAAACTATTTTATGTGTTTATAGCTATGACCAATTAGGTTATAAATATAATAAAAGTATCTGACTAAATGCTTTGCTTAAGTAATTAAAATAATTTTTTCAAAAATTACAACAACAAAGTGCGCAGTTCGTTTAGACGCACTTTGAAAAATCTAAAATTTTGTCTTATTTACGTTTCGTAGAAAACTTAATCGTTTCTAATATTAATCTATCAACAAAAACGAGTAATTACTGAGGGTTTTAGAATTTTCCATCAAGTTTTTCCAGAGATTTTCCTTCATTAAAGTTTTCATGTTGCAAAAATTTTGATAAATTATTTATCCAATAATTTTGCGTTAAATTATTATTCTTTTAACTGATTTCCATAGATAATTGTCCATAATATTAGAAAATTAACAGATATTTAAGCTTTCTTATAAGTATAAGGCGAAAATATGTGAAAAATATAATTATGGTGAAAAATTTCCACCACTCTCATAGATTAATCAACAAATTTTGACAAAACTGTAGATACCATAATAAATTTGAATAGACCAGCTTATTTATCGTATTAAACTTAGTTAAAAACAGAAAACTGCACAGCTCTATGGCTAATGGAACTTGAAAATTTTACTGAAAAATTAAGTTGTGGTGAAAAAATTTCACCATAGAAAAATAAAATTTTAAAAAAACAATGTCTAAGGTTTTAATTCATGTTTTAAATTGATTAATTTTGAGACAGAAACACTTTTACAACCTAATTTAAATGAAACAATTGCCTAAAACAACGTTTTTTAAAATTTTATTTTTCTATGGTGAAATTTTTTCACCACAACTTAATTTTTCAGTAAAATTTTCAAGTTCCATTAGCCATAGAGCTGTGCAGTTTTCTGTTTTTAACTAAGTTTAATACGATAAATAAGCTGGTCTATTCAAATTTATTATGGTATCTACAGTTTTGTCAAAATTTGTTGATTAATCTATGAGAGTGGTGGAAATTTTTCACCATAATTATATTTTTCACATATTTTCGCCTTATACTTATAAGAAAGCTTAAATATCTGTTAATTTTCTAATATTATGGACAATTATCTATGGAAATCAGTTAAAAGAATAATAATTTAACGCAAAATTATTGGATAAATAATTTATCAAAATTTTTGCAACATGAAAACTTTAATGAAGGAAAATCTCTGGAAAAACTTGATGGAAAATTCTAAAACCCTCAGTAATTACTCGTTTTTGTTGATAGATTAATATTAGAAACGATTAAGTTTTCTACGAAACGTAAATAAGACAAAATTTTAGATTTTTCAAAGTGCGTCTAAACGAACTGCGCACTTTGTTGTTGTAATTTTTGAAAAAATTATTTTAATTACTTAAGCAAAGCATTTAGTCAGATACTTTTATTATATTTATAACCTAATTGGTCATAGCTATAAACACATAAAATAGTTTTTGTCTTAATAGTGTTTATTAAAGGAAAATTTGGAAAAAATTAAGTGCGTCTAAACGAACTGCGCGCACCTTAGTAGTAACATTAAAGCTCTTGAACTTTGGAAACTCCAATGTGAAGACCCCCGAACTTTTAAAACTCTAATTTGAAGGCTCCTGAATCCAGAAACTCTAATGTGAAGGCTCCTGAACCCAGAAACTCTAATATGGAGGCTCCTGAACCTAGAAACTCTAATGTGAAGGCTCTTGAACCTAGAAACTCTAATGTGAAGGCTCCTGAACCCAGAAACTCTAATATGAAGGCTCCTGAACCAAGAATCTCTAATGTGAAGGCTCCTGAACCCAGAAACTCTAATATGAAGGCTCCTGAACCAAGAATCTCTAATGTGAAGGCTCCTGAACCCAGAAACTCTAATATGAAGGCTCCTGAACCAAGAATCTCTAATGTGAAGACTCCTGAACCTAGAAACTCTGATGTGAAGGAAACTGAATCCAGAAACTCTAATGTGAAGGCTCCTGAACCAAAAAACTAATGTGAAGGCTCCTGAACCAAGAAACTAATGCGAAGGCTCCTGAACCCAGAAACTCTAATATGAAGGCTCCTGAACCAAGAATCTCTAATGTGAAGGCTCCTAAATCGAGAAATTCTAATGTGAAGGCTCCTGAACCAAGAAACTCTAATGTGATGGAACTTAAATTAAATACCTCAAGTGTGAAGGCACCACTGTATCAGGAATTTCCAAAAAAAACACTGGACAGTCATCCAGTTCATCACAGTCTGAATAGCATCATTAAAATCAACTTTTTAATCTTCACGAAGGGTCGAAAAGGAATCAAAAAAGTGAAAAATATTCTGCGAAGCACAAAGCAAGAAATTAAAAATGAAAGAACTGGAAAAGGCCACACGGGCGAAAGCTGCTCAGTCTTTTGATTTATTATCATTCAATTAATTATGCATAAATTTAATTTTTTTGTTCTTTTTTGAGTTAATTTGATTTTTTCATCGTGATTATGAGATTAAAAATTGTTTTGGAATCTCAGCAGATGCGAAAAGATTTAAAAAATTTTCCAAAAATAAAACGGCAGTAAAAAATTATGAAAAATCTTCAAAATTTTCAATTACAAATTAAGACAATATCCTCAACAATTTCCATAAAAAATCCGCAGCAAAGCCACAAGAAAATATTAAATTTTATGTAAATGAGCGTCAAAATTTAATCCACAAATGGTTTTAAGCAACAACAAAGTGATGAAGTTTATAAAATTACAAGGAATAAGCCTTTAAATTGCTTGTAATTTTCCCGCCTTAACAGCATTTAAAGACATTAAAGAACTAAAAGAAGTCGATAAAATTCCCGAAAAAAAGTTTTTTTCATCTCAAAACATTTTCATCTTTTAACTCGTTTGACGCTTAACGATTTTATGATTTTAGAAATTAAATTTCACTTGGCTTCCTTTAAATTGTAAACAACACAGAACGAGCGATTAAAAGGGCTGAAAAATTATTTTACTTTATCGCTCATTAGGGAGTCGTTTCTTCTCACATTCCTGAGTCGTGCGTGATGTTACGCGACTGACTTTGTTTTATTTTATGACAATTTCATTTTATTTTGTTAAATTTTATTATTGTGAGTTTGTTTTGGAATGTTTTTGTTTTTTTGACAATTTTCTTGGTTTGTTTAAATTAAGAAAAGGAGAAGCCAGCTTTGAACTAGGTTTGAAATTTTGACGCTCAGCTTCAAACTCTTATCTCATTTTTTGACGCTTAGCTTCAAATAAGCTTCAGTTATTGACACTTAGCTTCAAACTAGAGTCAAATTTTGACGCACAGCTTCAAATTAGAGTCATTTTTTGAGGTACAGCTTCAAACTAGAGTCAATGTTTGACGCTCAGCTTTAAAATTGTTTTATTTTGATGCTCAGCTGTAAACTAGTTCATTTCATGATGTTCAACTTTGAACTAGCTTGTTTTAACGCTCAGATTCAAATTAGCTTCCTTTTTTACGCCAAGCTTAAAACTAGCTTTCAATTTCCGGCACTCAGCTTCAAATTAGCTTTGGTTTTGACGCCCAGCTTTAAACTTACTTCAACATTTGACGCTCAGCTCTAAATTAGCTTCAATTTTTGACGCTAAGCTTTAAATTAGCTTCAGTTTAGATTGTTCAGCTTTGTAGTAGTTTCAGTTCTTGACGCTCAGCTTTGAACTATCTTACTTTGATGCTCAGCTTTACTTTATAAGTCAATTTTGTAGTCCATTGAAAAATAAGCTATAAATTTCCATTCCATTTTGAAATTGCATCAATATTCAATACATCAACCCAAACGCACTTAACAATCGAATCTGAACCCCCTTAAAAAATTTTACATAACAAATATTCACAAAACAGCATCACAAGCCAAAACAGCAATAATTTCTACAACCAGCACCCCCAAAAAATACGCGACACCAAACAAAACTTTTCTTGTCGCAAATCACGTAATTTTGATTACGTTTTTCTTGTTGTTCCTTGTGTCACCTTCTTTGAGGAGAATTTACATCTTTTTTTACATCTCATTATTCCTGCTATTATTATTGCTGTTGTTAAATTCTTGTTTCTGTTTTTTATTTTAAAGAAAAATTTATGACAACATACAAAAAAATGTGCTGTTCTTACCTTTTAATTGTCAAAGAATAATTTCACAATTTTCAGTAGATGAACGTGAAGGAACGGAACAGAAATTAAATAAATTCAGGGTATGACAACGAAAAAAATTCGCGTTAATTATTAATTAAGAACACAAACATAAAAAAGAAAAGAAATTGAGACGAAAAAGTTTATTTTTGTGTAATTCATTTTGTGGTTAATTTTGTTACTTTTTTGGATGAGGAAGAGAAAATTTTGTGTATTTTGTGTATGGCTCCAGGCGATGGAACACTTGCGGCTGTGTTTTTAATCTACATTAAAATGCTTAACCTCAAATTGGAATGGACAAAAGTTTTTTAATATTTTTAATTTAAGCAAGGGAAATTGTGGGCTGTTGACCTGAATTTGAGGTTAGGGTAGCTAGATCTTGTCATTTCGATGGATTTACAGCCTGACAGAGACCAGCAGAGACTAAAAAAACGAAAGATGCAGATACGTTCAAGTTATCATCCCTTGGCTCACACCTACAAAAAAATTTTTTATTTTTTCATTACAATTCAAAAACAAATTTCATCAAAAAACGAGACTGACTTACAAAATACTTCCTTCCTTACCTATTCATACCTTCCCCTCATCTCAGTCTTAATAAAGAGAAAAAAAGTGTTAATTTCAAATGTGACAAAAAAAGTTTCTCATTTTCAATTTTCATGAGATTAATTTGCATTTAAAATTATTCTTAAAAAAAAGTTAAAAATAATGAAAAATGTTTTGGAATTTGATTAATTAATTAAATATGATACGAATGCTTTGTTTTTAGCTCCTAAAGAATAAATTAGAAACTTTTATGTAATGTTATTGATCAGGGGCTTCTAAAAGACGGTGAACGCGCAATATATGTAGCTACTCGCTACACCTAGCTTAACATCGCCATGTACCAACCTTACCTTTTCGCGTTAGAAGCCGTTAATCCAAGTCACATAGTGGGATGTGATCAAACGAGGCTCAGGTTTCTACAGGGTTTATAAGTTTAGCAAGCCGCCATCCTTAAATTAAAGCTAAGCAACCTAAAGAGAGAGCCGGACTGAAAATACAGCGATAGAGCCAGTTTAAGGCGGCATCTGAGAGAGACTATGAATCACAATTGATCTGCAAGGTCATCGAAGTTACTTACTTCTAGTAAGTTACTGATCAGGGGTGACATCAGAATTATTTCAAAGGGGGTCCATAGGCTCAACCTCTGCTTAAAGTTGTAATGTTAAGAATATTCTTCAATTTTTTTCACGTCTATGAATCACTTTTGATGGGAACGAACGGTGTACTTCACAAAATAAGGTTACAAATATTCAGTCTGTTGTCTAACTCCTCGGCCATAGAGGCTTTACTCTCGCATGCATATGGCTTGATTTGCAACATTCCACTCGAGACACCACACTAGCGATTAGCAGAGCTCGAAGTCGACTCGAGATTTTCATCGATTTTGTATGGCGTGACTCCGAGTCTATCTTTTATTTTGGTTCAATCTTGTGAAAATGAACAAATGTCATAAATGAGCCTGAACAACCCAAAATGTGTCAAAAATCCGAAAACACTTAAAAACTGCACTTGCTCATCCTTCATCACGAAAATTAATTATTTTTTATTGCTGCTTTATTTACAGCACACATTCAGCAGCGCAAATTGCTAACAAAAATTTATTTTTTCTTTTGTTTATTTTTTAATCTTAAATAAACAAAAAAAAAATTACTAATAAGTTTTTTTTTTCATTATTTTTCTTGTGTTTTAATTTTTTATTCACATTTTTTATGATTTTACAAATAAACAAACAAAGCACGAAAAAAATGTGTGCTGAATTGAAAAAGAAACTGTTTAAAATTGCCAAGATAACTTTTTATCTGATTTGTTTGCAATTTTTTAAGAATGCTTGTCTAGTTGTCTGTGTTAAGTCCCTATTGGAATTGGATAATCAAGCTATACACTAAAGTATGGTCATTTTTAAATGTTGGCGATCTAGAGCTCGACTAAGTTGCATCGATTAGAAAACTTTTAACATTATTATATGGTCTAGCTGAAGTGGCTCGGAAGCGAAATGGTCTAATACTTCAGTACCTAATTATGGCAATACCGACACAGCGATCATGGGTTCGAGACTGGGTATGGGAAATTTTTCAATTTTCCTGTTTCAAATCATATGTACTGGAAATGAGGTTCACAGCCTTCTTTTGTAGGCAACAGACAGAAATGTCATCAGATTAGTGGTTCAGATCCAATTATAAATTGTAGGTCTAGGTTTGAGTGCAGTGGTTTAGTGAATCCTTACTGGATAAAATCTCATTAGCTGCAAATCGCCTTAGGGGCTGTTCACTTATTACGTAACGCGAAAAAATGACTTCTTAGACCCCCTTCCCCCCCTCGTAACAAAATTTGTATTAAAAAAAAATTTCCTTGTTTGAACCGTAACAAAATCTTAGACCCCCCCCCCCTCCCCCTAAAAGCGTTACGTAATAAGTGAATGGCCCCTTAGCGCACCTCTGGATCAGAATTGATCGGAATAGGTAAAGGTTTTTTTTAGTGGTCTAGCTTGATTTATTGGCTAAGTACGTCCAAAAACCAGTCACCAAAAACCTGTAAGACAATTCTAGCACTCTAATACTGACAATCTAGTCTCTCAACTAGCCGCTTACACCAAAAACCAATTCTAAACTTATTAAAGACAACAAAAACTTCCAACTTTGATTTATGTTTCACAAAATATGAAGCTCTGAACCACCTACTGTGCTGCTACTCATAACATTTGAGCAAAACCTTCAATATTTTCTATATTTTCAATATTTCATAATTTTTCAAGCAAAATTTATTTACGAATTTATTTTTTCAAACTGACATCTGTTTACATGAACAGTAAAAAAAATT